ATGAATTTGCTTCCCTGAATGTTACTTAATGAAATAACAACCCACCTTTGACTAGTTCAGCCCAAAATATTCATGAATAATTCGATTTATTTTTTTATAATTGTTTGCAGATACAGTAAATGGATTGAAATTAAAAGATTTCATTTTAGAAAAATATTTTATATCCAAATAAATGGAACCTAAGGCAAAAACTTGAAAAAGTAAGGAGTTTTTAGCAACAACTCAGCAAGAGAAAGAGCACGCTTCATCTCAATGATTATATGTGTGATAACATCTACTATATTAGGAATATCAATAAACCCAATAATTGCAATGGTTCATGATAATTTCTTCTTTTTTAGCTTATAGGGTTTAGTAGAAAAGAAACAAAAAGGAATTAAATAAAAGAGATGATGGATCCTAACTCATAAATTTTACCCTCCAAAATTGGACTGAAACGAGATACGAAGAGAAGCAAAATTATTATATAAATTGTAAATCAACAATACTACCCTCTATAATTGTGTATTAGCTTATATAATGAGGATATATTGATTAAAAAAAATTATAGTATATGTCTGGTAGGGTTTTATGTGATAAAACATGCATGAAGCCATTGTCCATTTGAAGGTGGTGGATCATTTCACTTGAAGAAAAATATAAAAACCTCAGTTTAGGATTTCTTTTCTTTCCTTTTTTTGGGGTAAATAATTTTTTAAGGGATGGATCAAAGTGACGAATAATATAATACTATGTCGCGTATTTAAGTTGTCTATGGAGACCTTCTTTTCCTTGCTCATGAATCACAAAACGTTCATAATTAGTTAATAGATTTCATATAAAAAAAATACAAGTTTCTGCTTTATGGAAAAGAATTACCATCCCATTTTTGTGAAATTAAAGTTATTAGATGAACCTTAATTTAGGATTAATCTTTGTCCAGCTCAATCATAAGAACATGCCACGTAAAACCGGATACAAAGTGGATTGTGATCAAATACGTACACTGTCCAGTTCTTGAAAAATAAAATAAAATAAATACGATTCTTGTTATATATATATATATATATATATATATATAGATGTTCAGTACGTGACGGAACAAATAAAAAGCCAAAAAAACTCTTGACTTATTCGATCTCTTTTCCACAAAGTTTTGACCCAAACAAAGACTAAGGTGGATGATCCATCATTTCAGTACTGTAAATCCAATAATCATCTTCACGTTCTCATTTGTCGATTTCTATGTATCGCCACCTAAACCTAGCTAGAGTCATGAGAACGTGATATGATTAGGTTCATAGAAGGAAATAATTCGAGCTTTCCCACACTAAATTTACAAAAAAGACAAGTTTCTGAAGATCATTGATTTATTGAATAGAATAACCATCTCATTTTTAGCATTTTTTAAGTTATTAATCTTTATCCAGGTCAATCATAAAAACATGCCATGTGGAAACGGACAGATAGTGGAATGTGATCAAATACACGGTATACACCATACAGTTTTTTAAAAAAGAAAATGTATACAACTCTTGTTATAAAATATATATATATATATATGTTTAGTAGATCTACTTGATGGAACGTATATAATAAAATCAAGGATGAATTGTAAAAAATCACCCTCAATTTCTAGTCAGTTATAAAAAATTTCTCTTATGAATATTTTAAATAAAAAATTTCCCTCAACTATTTCAAACCTATAAATATTCTTAGTGGTTAAGAGAAATTTTTTTACTAAAAATATTCATAAAGAAAATTTTTCGTAACTAAATAATAGTAAAAAGGGCGTATTGTAAAACCAATGTTAAATATTCGATCCCGTCGTCGGTTACCAACAAAACACTCTCTTTTCCATGAAGTAGTATAATTGACCCAAACAAAGACTAGAGGCATGAGGAGCCGTCAATCAATGTCGGAAAACTAATTATTAGAAGTGATATGATTATATTCAGCCCCTTATAATCTTGACAAATTTTGACTCCGTCAACTACTATTTTTTTTTTTTTCTCTGGAGGGTAATCTTGACAAATACTGTAGTCAAAATTGTTCTTATGTGAACTTGTGAATATATAAATTTAAAATTTTATTATATATACTTTATATTTTGATTGAATTTTTACCTTTCTATCAACGAATGGATGAAAATTCTCTTTTGTCAAAAAAAAAAAGAAAAAAAAAAAAGACAAAGGGGATGTGTAAGCAAGCTTACATAAATTAAACTTATTGTTTTGGAACCTTACTCATTTAATAAACCATATTTTTTTTGAAACTTTGTTTGGCTCTATTTATTTAATGAATTAACACAAGCCTAACATTTGACTAAGTTCAGCCTAAACTATTCACGCACAGCTTGATTTAATTTTTAAAATTTTTCCTAGATAAACCCAAATGGATTGATATTTGAAGTTAAAGTGAAGCAAAATCCGTTTCCTAAGGATGCATGTCTCCTTTTCATCTATTTTATTTATTTATTTATTTCACTCTTACCAAACGGAATTATTATTTCTCATTTGATCTTTTTTCCTACTATTTTGACTTTTTAGTTATAATTTACGTTGCTGATGCACCCGCTCTATTGTTTCATCTGAAATTTTAATTTTTTAAATACAATTTACGCTGTTTACATACCTTTTTTCTCATTTGAATTTTGACTTTTTAGTTATAATTTACATTACTTGCACACCCTTTTGTCTCATCTGAAATTCTGACTTTTTAGTTATAATTTACGTTGCGTACACACCCTGCTTACTCACCCTATCGTCTCATCTGAAATTCAATTTGATGGATCTTTCAAACTTGAATTATTTTAAATGAATCTTCTCAATATAAATAAAATGTATTTTAACAATCGATTTTGATGCCATAGAATTTTTGACTAACTAAAGCTCCTTTTCTTTTCTTTTTGACTAATTAAATTGTCTTTACAACTAAAAGTTTAAAAATTAATTTTTTTATTTTACCGACCAGTATGCCGCCTTCTTATTTCAAGGATGAAACGCGGTCTGATGTGTGTATGTCACACCAATTAGGCACGGATCTATGAGTGGCTTAACAAGAATAACTGCCCTTATAGATTGTTTTATTTTTATTTTTTTATTTTTACTACTATACTTTATTATTTTTCTCATTTTGATATATATACTTATAAAATTTAGGGAAAATTACATATAAATGGAGTCAAAGTTTCATATTTACTTAGAAACTGAGTCAGAGTTCCATATTTCTCTAAAATGGATTGCTGAGGTGGCACATGGTTTTTTACTGTTTAAAAAATTGTGGTGCCTAAAATGCCCTTCCCTAATAAAAAAGTAGTACCTTCAGTTCAAAAAAGTAGTACCTTCGGAGAAAAAGTAGTACCTTCGCGAGTGTTTAAAAAGCATGGTACCTGGATGTCAAAAAGTAATACCTTCAGTTCAAAAAAGTAGTACTTTCGAAGAAAAAGTAGTACCTTCGCGGAAAGGTATTTTAGGCATCGCAATTTCTAAACAGTAAAAAACCATGTGCCACCTCAGCAATCCATTTTAGAGAAATATGAAATTTTGACTCAGCCTCTAAGTAAATATGGAACTTTAACTCCATTTATATGTAATTTTCCCTAAAATTTACTATTGCCTGCACTGAAATTTTTAAAAACCGTCATATTTTTTCCCGCGTACGCCACTACATACCATGCTTCTTTTGTGAAAAGGAAATAAACAAAATATGCGCTTCAAAAAAGTTACAGCAACAACAAATCAACATATACTTCTCTAGTTTAATCACTTAGTTGTAATTTTTTTTTTCTTTATTTCCTTGACCTATAATTTCTTAAGCCATTTATATATATTCATTGTATCATTAATTATAATATATCATCAGTTTCATGTTTAAGCTGCTATATAAAGGGGTTGTATTTGTGTTAATTAATTTGTACTTCCATTAAGTATTTTATTCAATCTTGATTTATATATGTATTTTATTATGTGAATTTGCTAATTCATCTGCATAGCGAATTTTTCTTTAAATATTGGCAATATTTGTTAAACAACAAACTAAGGCTCATCTTTCTGGTTAAACTATTGTCAACATGAATTGATAGATAATCACATTCCAACCATAATTTACAGCGGTCTCAAAGTATTGTCAACTTTTGTTCACCTTTGGTTGTTTTGAGTTGGACGCTTTTTCAAAGAAATTACAGTCACCTTTCAGCATCAACCTAAGCTCGCATGTCACTGTGCCTCCTACTACTCAAATCATGACTTGTTTACTTGTAATCCTTTATTTTCTTTACGCGGTGCACGCACACATAACACATTATGTGAGGTAACACTTTGGTATTGCACGACATTGAATGATTTTGAGTGCTGACTAGAGTCACTATATGTGGCTCAATCATATTACTCTTTCACAAACAAAAACAAAAAAAAAAAAAAATTAAAATTTTGAGTTTGAGTTTAGGTATAGGCAAAGTTTGTAATTTCAGAATTAGAGGAGTCCAAGTTTTAACGTGGAGACACTACATATATTGAATGTCCAAAAGCTTGTAATTTAAAAATGAGATGATTTCAAATTTTAAAGCAGACACACTACAAGTAGTGACTCTAGTCGGCACTCATTTGTTAGTCAACTTGAACTTGGTAGCTTGTATAATATTGTTCCATTATATTTAAAATTTGTCGGCTAGCCCATTTTGTTTGCTTAGAGAATTTTGCATTTTTCACACACACATACACAGTATAAATACATTCCTTGGGTAAGAAGAGTTAAACGCAAGATGGGATACAAAAAAAACAAAGTTGATTATATATATCTCACGCATCGCTACGTGTACATTCATTAACACGCGTAAAGTCCTTCTTGTCACATCGGACACGGTATTAGTGCCTTCGTGTCTAAGATAAAAACTTCATAACACGTAACTACTTGTCCCATTCTATGCTCTATATATATATATATATATATATAGTACATTCTCTTATGCCATTCCCAATCACTTACAAAATTTTTTTTAAGCAAGCTCACCATTATCAACAATGGAAGCAACCTCATTTACTCCACGTCCCACGCTTCCCCTCCGGTGGTCTCCTGCCAAGTTGCGTTGCCGGAGAACACTTGTACCCGTAACAAAGAAGCCAATAATTGCAAGTGTGAGAAGATCAGGGCATGATTATGGTGGTAGGCCGGTGGATGAGAACATGATCATCCTCCGGATGCGCATTCGAGAGGCCAAGATGTTGGAGGACATCCGTTCGCCGCCCGAGAATTGGATGGAGTGGGAGAAACGCTACTCCGCACACTACAATGAGGATGTGTGTGAAGCAGTAGGGTTGTTACAGTCTTTTTTGATGGATACAAGGCCGTGTCTGGCTTTTGGGATGGCCGCACTTATTTTATTGAGTTTGACCCTTTCAACTTCAGGATTCTTGTTATATGTTATACACATAGCCAAACGACTCTTGTCTGGGTTTCATCTAAGCTGATTACGATCTGTAGTTTTTGTCATATTCCTAGGGTTTAAGTTTGTGAAACAATATTGAAGGGTTTTTTTTAAAAAAAAAAAAAATCCAGGGACATCTTTTGTATGTCTAGATATATATGTTTGTGTGCATATGATGTTATTATTTTGTTTCCTAAAAAATATATTATTATAGTAATTAATTTTGTTAGAAGTTTGATGTTTTGGCTTTTCTAAATCCGACTGATTTGTTAGCCCTACCGTCAGGGTGTAGCAAGAAATTTTAGATTGGGGCTGGATTTGTATTATGTAACTAAAGTTTAAAAATTTTATAAATCAATTGTAATATGCTAGTCATAGTATATATACTTTGAGAAAATTAAAAAATGAGAAAAATATAACTTAATAATAACGAAAATTTGATATTAAAAAGGAAAATATAGAAAAAAAACGATTACTAAAAATTAAAAAGAGAAGATGTACAGAAATAAGTATTGTTAGATAATCAAATTTTCTTCATCAACTGATTTAGTTTTTCAAAATCTAATTTTTGAAAGAAAATTTTGTGAGTGCTTTGATATCACTTGGGAAATATATACCTAAATGAAAGATTAGAAAAAAATAATCAATTTTAACTAAATAAAATAATTTGAAATTAAACAAGATGTCAATAAAGATTGTTATATAATTCTAAATATTTTTCTTGTAGATATCATTGTACGAAAATATTTAACAAAACATACTTGAAGCTTTTTTATTAAATATGATGGAACATTAGTAATTTTTATCCTTTTTTTTTTCTCTTGAATTAATATTATAGATATTAGATATGTGTATATGTAAATAAATGCAACTCAGCGGTGAAATTAACTCATCCGACAAGGTGTCAAGAAAATAATAATAATAAATAAATAAAAATTAAAATCTAACTTGCTCATTCAAGAAACCCTACTTCCTCGTTCTTATGAGAGAGAGAGAGAGTCCTTAACACTACCACTGTACTTTGTTACCTGTCTTCATCTTCCTTCTCACATCTCTAGTCATCCGTATGAATTAAGTGGAAAATGAAAGAGATATGCTATATAACATTACTTGTAAGAAAAATAAAATAAAAACAAACTTACCCCAAAAAAACTAATAATAAAAACAGTGTATGCTGTTAACCTCTCTTAATGTGCAATTTACTTATTATATTCATAAATTGCTTTACTGTTCCAGAAAAAATAAAAACAAAGAAATGAAATATGAATATTTTTTTTTCGTAAATAATAATATATGAATTTTCTATTAAAGCAAAGTCATTAGATCTAGAGGTTTCATACATAACTTACTCTATACAGTATATTATGCTGCGAGTTCCGATAATAGAGTAGTAATGTCATCAGTCCACTTTATAAAACGAAATCACTGTTCATTTTTAAAATTGTGTTACTATCATAAAGACTTCGCCAAGCACAATTCTTACTGAAAATGTTTAAATCTTGTATGAGCACTTTAAAATCACCAACTCACTATTTTTTCCCCCTCAGTTCGTACATATTTTTTAATTTAGCCTAACAAGACAAAAACATCAAATCTCCGATCTTTGGCTACACTGCTATTCGTATAAGTTTATTTATTTTTATTTTAGCAATCGCTATTGTTGATGAACCAAGTATAAGCGTAAAAACATCAACTATATATGGCAATCGTGTTTCATGCCCGTGCAGAAAACTTCTATATGATATAAGTTATGTCTAGTCCATCTCTTTTAAAAATATATATTTCAATTCATAATATTTAAAAAATATGCAAAGAAACCCTTCTAATAATTTTTTGACAAAAAATAAATATGAAAATCTAATCGTATCCTTTTCGTTCCTATTTCGCCCATCATCACTCTCCTAACAAATTTTGTAATGAATTTACCAATCTACCTGTTGGAAAACGTGCTAGTTTTAAAAACTTTTCGAGAGATTTTCATTTACAGATTTTGATTCATCACATAGAGACAAGTTTTATGCAAAAATAAAATATGATATATTATTCAATTAACAGATTGAATACTTATATCAAAGATCTGAGTAAACCTTTAAATCTTTCCTCTAAAGTGAATGTTCCCACTTATTGTAAATCACTTAGCAAGATGCCTTCTTCTTGGATCTCCATCTGCTTGGTACTTGTTTTGCCTTTAAGAATCACTCATAAACCTCCATGAATGATCTTGAAAAACTAGGCTTATGGGAGCCTTAATTAGATGAGAACACTAACCCTAATTTTCTAGAGAGAGAAAATATATTCATTTTTTTCTTCTACTAAAAATCACCCTTAAAAATATACATAGACCATGTATATATATAGGCAATATAAAGATAAGAAAAAGGAAACAATAAATCCTTCTCAATCTCTAATTCACATGTCTCAAATCTAATATGATTTCAATATCAAGTTAAGTTATGAGTGAGAATCCTTTGGGCTTATTATTTTTATTGACTACAATGAATTAATAATTGGCCCGGTTCATGGATCCAATTCAATTAATTCATAAATTAATTTATATTCCTCTAAAAGAAATTAATTGAACTTCAATTAAATAATAAATAACCGCTAAGTCAATGTTGCACTTTGACCCCTCTATTCATAATTAGTTATCGGATAAATAAAGCCATCAATCCTACTACTTAATTAATATATTTATTTTGGTACCATTAATTATATCTGGCTCGATCACAATAAAACATTTGTTTGACAAAAATAATAATTTAAATAAATAAATATATAATAAATTATTTTGTCTAAAAACACACGAAGGCCTTCGAATTTACTTTGTGATCAACCATAATCAATACAAAATAAATACAAATAGCAATGATGCAAATATTAAAAATATAACCCTCTAACTATTAATTGCATAACTACTCAAAATGTCAGTCTAAGGATCCCGAAGTATTCGCCGAACAAATCAAAGTAATTATTAATTAATAAAAGAGTTTATACTTTTCTCATACTTAAGAATCAAATGCCATGACAGTGATAGGGAACAATTGCATATGACGGCTCTCGCAATATATCTCAACCTAACGCGGATCCAATTCAAGTCTTAATTAATTATGAGTCTATCCATAATTACCGACTATGAACAATTTATGATTACTATTTATATTCATGTATTGATCGCCAACACATACATATATAAATATCTATTGTAATCAAGTGGACACTATCAATTCTATAATGAATCGAAACATAATACATTGAATTCACTAATTGTATCAAGCATAAATATTTTAGAAACGTCAGGAACATATGTCACTATAATTCAAATAGGAATTTGCTATGCCAGGGCATATAAATCCCAACAGCTCTCACTTGCCCTCATAACCAATTCAAATTGCATCTAACTCCAATGTTATCCAGGTGATGATCAAAACTATTGATCGATAACACATGTGTTAATGGATCAACAAAGTTGTGTTCAATGCAATGTTCTAGCCATGAGCATATTTTCTTGTCGGACAATATCACGTAGGACATGATACTTTCCTCTCAGTGTACTTTGCTCCTCTATGGAACCTTAGGTCATTTGTTTGGACTATCTCTGCACTATTGTCACAATATAGCTCGATAGGCAAGCTAGTATGCTCCACAACCTCTAAATCAGTGAGATCAAACTACAAGGCTTCCTTTGCTACCTTTTAAGGTTGCAATTGTAATACCACTAGTTTTCAAAAGGATGAAATGGGAATGGGAATTAAATTTTGGTTTTTATTGCATTGTTTTTATATGACGTATGTGTTTTGTTTTCTTAATTGATTAATGGTGATTTTCTTTTATTATTTGCGTAATTAATTAAGGGTGTATTTATTTTAGTTTAATTGTTTAAATTGAGTTTGTTCTAAGTTAATTGTTAATTGATTATTGATGTTTTATTTGACGTGTATTTGGTAACTTATATTTGGTAGTTTTTAATTGGTAGCTATAAAATTTGTTTATTTATTTTCTTTGTTTTATTTACCTCTTTGAATTAGGGTTTTATGTTTTATGTATTCACGTTGGGTTAAGAAATTAGGTTTAGCCGACTTTTAAGTCATATTGGAATTAGACGTAGGTTTAAATAAAAGTCTATATATAGAACAATATATGTGTCTGTAAGGGTTTGAGAAAACCCTATTCATGTAGTGTCTGGAGAGAGGAAAAACAGAGAGGTTGAGGGGAAAACATGAAGGGAACTGGGAAAGGGCTTTGGATTGAAGCTCATGTCAAGGAGGAAGGTATGGTTACTGTGAGATAGAACTGAGCAGTAGGAGTTCATCGGAAACTCCATAAACGGCGTTGTAAGGTTTCAAACCGAAACCTAAAGGCAAGTTTCATTCTATCTCCTTCCTGTAAACTTGTGTTCTGTACATTCTATATAGACTTCAGGGATTAATTAAAATTTTAAAAGTGATAGTTGATGCATGTTATAATGGACTGTAACTTGTTACGTTTAAATATCTGAAATCGTTTCTTGTATGAACGGGGTTATTTTTTGGTTTAAACTTCTGTCAATAAATTCACGATAAAATTTAAGGAGTTTCTAGGATTATTGAGACTTATATTGAACCTTAAGAACTTTAAGAACATTTGGAACAGAGGATTGAACTTCGCCGGAAGCGAAGAAGAAGATAAACAGATGAAGCATAAATTGTTTCGTTCATAGTTTAAGCCTGTGTCAAGTAATTCATTCTGGAGTTGGAGAAGTTTCTAGGATTGTTATGACTTAATTTGAACCTTAGATATCTTTAACAAAAGATGGGATAGAGGGCTAAGGCTTTGCCGGACACGAAGAAGGCAACACAGAGGAAGCAGAGAAGGAAAAACGGAGGCAGGGGAAGTGGAGGAAGCTCCACACTTCAATGGAGGCGGCTCCATTGAAGTGGAGCCAGCTCCACAAAGTAGGCGGCTCCAATATGGGTGGAGCCGGCTCAACTTAAAATTAGAGGCGGCTCAAATTTTCTAAATGCCCAGTACATGGGTTTTTGATGGTTTTTAGACTTCAGGGGCTTG